AATCGCGACGCGATTCTATGGAGAGCCGATTACGACAGAGAATATTTTTCTAAAAATATTCAAAATTAATAAAATTATTTTACTTATCGCAGACGTTATGCCGTTATCTGGACAATCGGTTAAATTCAACGGTAGTTTTGAAGACACGCACACTGCATTTTTACAGGGATAAATAATAATGCTAACGAAACGCTTTATTATTACAGTTACTTTAATATTGTTACATGGAATTGTGTGCGTATCCGTAATCTTGTGTAATTTTTTTAAATATTATTGTAAGTATTGATAAATCATTGTTATACTCAACCTAACCAACCGACTACCGCTTGTCGTGCCTTAGTTATATTATTTTCCTTATCTAAAATCTAAAAACATATCGGGAATACAAAACAACGATCGCAGCCACTGTCGCGGTCATGCGGCCGAGAAAATGAACGCTGACGATTAGCCGTCGGGTGACACGAACTGTTCAGCGCCAACCAACCAAAGCATTAACCGCGGCAATGATGCTAATAATTTATTATAACAGATATAAAATATAAAATGAAATTAATTAAATGAAATTATTATGCGAAATTTCAACGCTGCCAAAAATAAAAACGTCAAGTTATAATTTGATAATTTTTTGCTCTTATTGAAATGTCAAATTTGAAGTCACAACGGTGATATTATTGTTCAATAATAACCATGTGTGGAGCAAACGATAAAAGGTTTAATTATTAATATTAACATACCAACATGACCAACTAGAACCCCGTTAAAACTCCAAATAATATTATGTTATTTTGTTTACAACACAAGGTTGGTTCTACTGAACCCGAATAGCGTGGGTCAGAAGAAAAAAACGGTAGTGCACTGATCTCTTCTGAATGGTTAATTCAATAAGTCATAAACTAATTAGACAAAAACTTATTTTCATTAATTTTGTTGATATTTTCGTTTCCTCGAAATTATTAATTATTAATGAGTAATGACTAATCTTACTCAGTATAGCATATGCAGTTAAAAACCTTTAGCCATTAAGCGAATTAAGCCAATTTTTAAAAATTCGAAATTAGATTACTTAGATTTTGAAAAAAAAACACTAAAATCAAAATCTATTTCTGAAATTAAAACCAAAATCGAAAAAAACAAAACTGATTTTTCGGTTAGGCAGTCACTGTTTTATTTTATCCCGTCGACCAACTAGAAAATGGTTTTTCACCGGGTTTTGTATCTATACAAAAAAAAAAATTATTTTTTTCAAAGGAGAACGGTAAACGAAAATTATTGTTTTGTTCAGTTCGTACGACGTGTTGAAATAGTAAATTAAATTTGTTACCAACCTTTGAAAATGTTATATTTAACACTGTGTCATGTTGAAAAAACTACACGAACGTATGGAATCTAAAGAATAATTCAAAATATTTCTCTTGACTTTTGTGTACGAGCGTGAAATGTTAATAATGAAGTAGGTAAATGAAAAACACAAACAGAATCATTATTATTGGAGTATTCAATGTTTTTACAGAAAAATACTCGTATTATTTTCATTATTGTGCAGGGACGTGCTCACATAGGAGGGGAGAGTGAGGGTCTCATATATCCCCATCATTGACATTTGTTTGTTTTTAATAATTCATTTATACTTCATCGACTTCCTGTAATCATTGTCTTTTATATTTGGAGACATTGTTCATTAAAAAATCATTACCTACTTATTTACTTATTATTCTACTTTATATTATGACACACCTATTGATATTTGTAATGACAGATTTCCTGAATCAATTTCTACCTGAAATTACGTTTAATGATTTTGTACAACTAACTATGCTAATATTCAAATCCCTCATAATCATCTCATAATCTCATATTATTTATATGCTGAGCACATCACTGTTAATGCATATGTTTCGGAATAAACTATCAAACAAGTGCAAATCAAATAATAATATTCTACCACGAATAAAAACCGTGACGCTATACCTTTCTGCAGTCAGTGGCGTATTTAAGGGGAGGCGATAGGGGCATTCCCCCCCCCCCCCTCCCCGAGAATTTTTTGAACAGGAATAAATTTATAAAACTAATGGGCATTTCATTAAAAAAACGAAAATTCTGGAAAAAATTGTATCAGTGATAACAAATAGGTAAAAATTTACATACATTTTTCTTTGGCGTACATATGATGTGGTCGTAACCTAGTTGACCGGGTATCAAAGTGGCCGATAGCCTTTTATCATCTATTATAACCACTGCAGCATGACCGATGTATTAATTGTTGTACATAAATGACTGCGTTACACACATAATATCACTTTATGTATGTTGTTTTGTTCTTATATTTTATAATGTTACGATAATTAATTAGTGGTTTATTGTTGAGTATTGTTTCATATTTATCAGTATTTGTGTCTCAACTTTCAGTGCGACACATCTAATTTAATGAATCAGTGGTTAAAGCGCAATGAAGTCTGCATTGAAAATACTGATTGGTACTTACAAACAAAATGGAAAAAATTGAGACGATTGTTACTCCGTCTGCATTTTCTGGTTTATCAATATTAAATAGTTTAAAAACTATTCATCGCATTGCTAGCACCACTTATGAATTAGGTATTACGCATTTTTTAAAAGACTCAAATATTATTTGTTCTAATCATGATCGTACAAAATTAATAATTAAAATGATTTTTTTTCCTTTTTCTGTTAATACAAAAAAAGGTAAAGAGGAAAAAAGATACCTAAAAAAAAGATAATTCGAAAAATATAAACGGTTAACTTTTTCTTAAACAATGTCAGGATTGTGTTGTACATTTTTTGTTTTATTTAGTGATAAATGATGTCCATACAAAACGATTACATTAAGTAAATTTGTTTCTAAACCATTACAAAAGTACTCTAAACTTTTAAGTAAAGATGGAGATCTAGAAATACACAGCAACATATTTATCACAGAAATTGTGTTCAAGTTGCTGATGATTTTATGAAAACCTTTAATAAACCGCAAAAAAAAAAAAAAGTGATAAATTTAATAAACAATGAAAGAATGAAACAAATAACAGAAAATCGAAATCGTTTCAAACCTATTTGTAGAGTCTATCATATTCTTAGGCCGTCAAAATATTCCTTTTATTTTGTTTTGTAAGTATGTTGTTTTTTTTTTTTTTATCATATTGTTTAACTTATTATTTTATATAGGCGCACAAGCGTAATATAAAATTCATTATGTCTAGGTAAGTTTGTGTGAGTAGTTGGGTAAACTCAGTTAACTGGTTTGGCATTGCTTAATATTCATTATTAAATATTGCATTAATTGTCAATGATGTCGTTGAAAGATTTGCAAATATTAAAAAAAGAAATATAGATAAAAACGTGCTTTGTTCTGTCAAATGTCTACATTGTTTTTATTTTTTGTGTGGGTCGACTTTCTTTAATATCGGCCCCTTCCCCGAGGTCAAGTCTCAAATACGCCATTATCTTCAGTGGCGCATTTAAGATTTTGTCAAGAAGGGAGTTATTTAATTTGGAAATTGTGTCATTTTGTGTACCGTGTACCCAGGCTACAAAAATAAAAATAAAAGATAAATACATTTTTAATCATTACCGTAGAAGATTTCTTAGTTAATTTAAAATATTCAGACTGCCCTGAAATTATCATAAAATCAAATACCTAATTTTAGGCATGGGTAAATAATTATTTACTTTACGGAGTATTTACTGTTTAGTACTATCATTGATTATAAATTATAGTATTTATAATCAATGTTACTATTTAGGTTTAATCTAAAGTCCTTCATTATAATATAGTGTTTCAGATAGGTTTCGCTTTAAACAAAACAATTTACGTACCTATACGTACAGGTTTTTTTTTTTGTTATATATATAAATATTTTGTTGTATATATAAATAGAATTGTGTTTTCTAAAACATATTATGGATTTTGTGTTAAAACAGTAAACAATTGTAATAAATTGAATTTAAAAATACGTTTCGTATAAATATTAGAAACCAAAAAAGGTCAATTGCAAGAGGGATATATCTCCCTAATTTCCCCCGTAAATACGCCACTGTCTGCCTATTATAATATACTTCACCGCTATCTATGAACCCGCGTAACGTCTTACGCATACTTACCGTTTTATGTTATTCGTCACAGGCACATACAGCGTAGTTGACGACTCGCTTTTATCTCTGGAAAATCGATACAGTTTTACCTATTATAATAATATATTCTCGCTATCCGGATTTCAATAATGCCTTATAATCACCCAAAATGTATAGTAGATAATAATTATTATACGTGCGTAATACAGAAACGATGATAATTTCTTTCATAGTGCAATAATTAGTATTGGAGAAAATGAACTAGCTGCGCCGGTTTTGATGCCCTTAATTTCATAAATGTTCGTTTTAAACTTAAATACAATGAAACGTCGAGTGCGTGGGCGATTTTGATGTGAATCAAGTACCGCGTGTAGTCGTATAGAAATATAAGATAACGTTAAGTACGGTAAATCGTCGCAAACCATACACATTATATTTACTATTGTTCTGAGATGATGGAGCTCGATTAAAAGTTTAAACGCCAAACGCATCTTTGTATCGAATTTGAAAGTGATTAACAAAATTGTATACCTATTAATAATAAACTAAACCGAAAAACAACATAAAATCGGAGTTTCTTCTTTATGAGGAATAAATTTCGAAATGCTTTGCATTAACCATTTCGAAAAATGACCTTCTCACGATGCACCCGATCCCCGGACACGTCCGAAATCCTACGCGAGCAAGCGCCAAAGTGACGAAGTTTTTAACTGGCAGTTGTCTTCCGGTCGAAGACTTGTTCGCTGGCCGACGGGAGAGGAGAGGGGAAGCGTAATAAAACCTCTCCGCTCATAATCTGAACGCACGGTAAGGCTTCCAACCCACTAGGCAACCTGGTTAGAAGTCTAAGAACACAAAAAGGACACAGTATACATATTTACATAATAATATCAATTAGGCAAAAAAAAAATGTATATGTTATAATATTATTGTCGTTTATTTGAATTTCAAAAAAAAAAAAAAAAAAACAAACAAATTATTAAAACTACGTGGTACGCGCAAATACGTCACGATAATGGCTAATTTTATATTTGGTATGTATCGTATAATAATCATAATATTATAATATCGCGCTCTCACAGACGAAGCCCCGTCGAGTGTACAAAAATGATAGTAGTTTTTTTTTTTTTTTTTTTCTATGATAATTATTTCACAAGCAAACACTATATAATAATATTATAATAAAACAGGCAATAGACAATATAGGTTTTACAGTGTTCGCGGGTGGTTACTTTAACGTACACAATAATATAATAAAATATAATATAATATAATATAATATAAAAGGGTATTATACGCGATAAATCTTAAATTATTGAAAAGTTCTGTACCCGCTATAAATAACATAATGTATATACTATAAATTGTAGACTACATAATATAATAACATTGTAACAATATAATAATATGTTTTGTACGGTCGATAAAAAATACAAATAAAAACTATTATAAACGTATACTGACTTTTTTCTTATTATTTTTTCTAATCATAATCGACAATCGAAACGCATTGCAATAATACAATATTATTGTGGCCGAATAACGACGCGCTCTTGCGATAATCACAGGCAATACAAATAATAATTGTTGTCATCGGTTACTGCGATTTCACTTGCAGGGTTCGTTAATATCATTGTAGATTCATATATGTGTATACGGATGTTATATGAATAATACTATTAGTATTGGTTATCGGCATCGCCATAAATCAGAAAAAGCGTGAATAATACATTGCCTATGGTTCACCAGCAAAAAGTTAACTCTCTTATACGGGAGCTATCTCGGAAACTCACGCTCGTATAGGTATGGGGCGATATTTAAACAAGACATTAATATAAACGATACTGAACGGAACGTTGCATAATTGAAATTTAAATTAAAATAATATTTACGTATATTTAAAAAAAAAAAAAAAAAAATGAAAAAGGTACCCGTAGGCGGGTCACGAAACAAACGAAGTAAAATATATTTATGCAACAAACGTCGTATAAAACGATAATTCGTAATGATAAAGGAAGTGACAAACTTAACGCTATAATGTCTACGGATATGGATTGTAGGTTGTGGGTTGATAATATGCGAGATCGTATTATAAAATAGGATGATATGGACGATGTGGTCGAGTGATATGATGAAACGGCAGGTGTACCTAGTCCGGCGGGTATTGTAGGGATAGAATAATGTAAAACAATATCATTCGGGCGGGTTATAGGTTGTAATAGATGCGGGCGGGCCGCGTTTAGGCGTATGAGAAATAACAACAATAATTTATTGACGTTGTCAAAACGTCCGGTCGATATTATTATTATTATTCGAGTGTTGCGAAATTTCGATCGATCAAAAAGCACGCGAAATCGCGCGATTTTTAAACACCAATAACCAATCTTATTATATTTCAAAATTTGAATCGGCTTATATTATTATTGTTAAAAAATTATCGTTGTCGTATTATATTTGAATGTCTACGTTATTAGTGTTCATACTCGAAAAAGAATTATTACGATAAATTATAATAATTAATTGAAATATTAAGCAAAGTACTTATAGACTATTTGAATAATCGTATATAATTTGGGTTTTTTTATTTTTTTTTTTATTATTATTATTATTTTAAATTATCAATTACATTAAAAATTTGATCAAGTATATTATTGTCGAAATGTATGCGAATCACGCGAGAATATCGTAATATAGAGTTTTTAGTTAGATTAATATTGATAACTCCAAGCGGCTCGTGTCTCGGTCATGTTAAAAGTCGATTTGAAAACGCAGTTAATTGTTTAGCTTAAACTAACGTTTTGTAAAACTGTCATTTTTTTTTTTTTTTTATTATTATTATTATTGTCTCGGCGAAAATATTTATACCTAGCCGGATGGCATACCTATTATGTAGAGTTCGCAGTATTTTAAATAATAATGTTCGTCCCGGAAATATGGTATTAAATTCGCTTTGAACCGGGAACAATAACGCACAACTAATGTACACCTACCCACGCTCCTCGTTATTGTGCGGGGAAACGCGTGCACCGGCGTAATATTTACGCGCAACGACGGTACCTATTGAAAATCCATAAAGTGTACAGATCGTATACGTTTTACGTTGGAACGGAAAATCAATTGAAAACGGCGCGGTTGTGAACGAAAACGCGGACCCGTCGTTCGCCGTGTCCGGCGCGTTTCTCCGGTATCCGATTGGACTCGAAACGTTTGGTGTTGTGGCGCCGAACGGCGGTTAACAGTGGCCAAGTGCGCCAAGCCGAAATCAACCCGACTCGCCGGCGCGTCCGGCTTCGCACGCAGTGACGCATTGATTTTTATTGTCGTTCTGAATGTTATCGGGAACGGGTGAACTTAACGGATTGTCACTGTAATACGTTATTTTTAAAAAAATGATACGTTCACGGAGCGCGGGCACAGTGACATTAAAACGACAATCGGACTTTTACCGATATTATTACGGGTTTTCGTCGATACCTCTAAATCGCGTACAGCCTAAAATAGTTAACAATGTCCAGTATACGACGCGAAATTAACATAACGACAATATTGAATTATAACGATTAATACGTGTATAACGCTATTGGTAATATAATTAATTAACGTAACAAAATAGATAAACCGTTGAAATCGAAACAAATAAAAAAATATTATATTTTGTACGTATACAAACGGGACAGTATTATAATATTATGTATTGTCAATTATTAATATTATCAACTAACCGAACTACGGTATTACAAACGAATCTCACTTTTAATTATCATTATTGTCATAAAATTGCGTAGTATTGATTTACCGACTTATGTATCCAGTATCAGTACATTTGGTCACATAAAATAAATAATTTACGCGCGCTTATAATAATATAATTTATTGTCATTTTTATTATTATTTAAATTATTTTGATACATAATTGCAGTATTATTGTCAATATTTGTATATTATTCGAGTGTAATAATAATTTTGAATGCCTGTTAATGCAATAAGAAAAAAAAAAATAATAATAAAAATATCTTATAATATAAATTTTATTGTCATAAGTCGTAATATTAAAACTAATTACATTATTATAATTATTTTTTGTTACAAAATGGAAGCACTCAGTTGTATTAGGTTACGGTTAATATTTTAGAGTTATTATTTACAATACTGATAAATCATCATTTCCATTTTTCGTTCTCTCCCATATCGTCATTCTACAATTTAGCACGTCGCGCCTTGTCAATAATTGAACATACCTGATACGGATTTATTGTAACGGGGAACGGGAGTTTCGACAGGTAACACGGTGAAATTATATCAGCACCAATGTCAAGCTCCGTTAAGGGACAACGGGGATCTAACGGTTAGGTCACGTGATGACGGGGCGAGGAGATAACGAAACGGTTGGGGTAGAAATGGAACGGACACCCCCGGGGCGAAGAACAGCCCGCGGGAGACCCAGAAAATTACGGGGGAAAAAAATGATAATTTAAAAAGTTGGCAAGTCGAAAACTGGAGATAGGCGATTTCAGATAGAAACAGGTCGATAGAGTGGTGTAATTACGGCGGTAGAAACCCTTGGGGAGTATATTTTATACGAGGTAGTTACTGACCCGTGTTAGTAGAAGAAGTGAAATAATACGATTTATTCCATTTTTTTTTTTTTTTTATTTTTTATTTATACGTGTATTATTGATTTTCGGTAAAATGGCTATGTCGCACTTACGACGAATATCATATTCATTGATATCTACAGTATAGGTATATTGTAGGTAAGGTCCGAAAAATGGATTCTATTGGTGTAAGCAGTGACGTGGTTGCCCGGTGTTTGCCCTGATGCGATATTACGCCCGGCCCAAAGGTGATTCCTAGCGATTTGACGTATATTTGTTTGGTTTTTCATGATAATTATTACGCCAACGTCTGAGATTTCGTCACCACGTCACTGGGCTTAAGTATGTTAATACTATCGTCTATAATTGTCAACACGTGAATTAATCGACACAGTACACGTCCTATACAATTTACTATTCAATCGTACGTACAATTTTGTTCTATATTCGATTCAGTAATTGTATTTTAACGCTAATATTAATAGAAAATGTGAACTTAGTATTTATTATTATTATTATTATTATTAATTGTGTATTCTAAATAACTTATATAATGTACCATTCGGCTTTACTATAATTTTATAATATGCTCGAGATGGTATTATAGTTAAAAATGGTAACATTCTACCACGTTGTTTGTATTAAATTAGTTGTAAATAAGTTTAAGTTATAGGCAAAAGTAATTATTTGAAATCACATTTCGAACAAATTATTATTATATATTGTGTTACAATTATTTTTAGACCTAAATAATTAATACAATAATTATTATTAAACTTTATTATATTAATATTATTGTTCGTATAGATCTCGTTAAACTATATACCTAATTACTCGTATATATGTATAGAACAATATTCTAGAATATAATATTAATATTCATTTTTTATTTATTTATTTATTTATTTATTAATATTTATGGGAATGACAAAAGACGGAGAAGAGCGTGTGTAGCAGAGAAGAATTTTAAATAATTAAAAAAAAAAAAAAATTGAGATAATAGAGAAACAGAATCTATTTTATCAGAAATGATGTAAGAGAGGAAAAGGAGGTTGCAAAAGTGTCTGCGATCAGCAAGGCTGCATTTTATTATAGTTTTATTTTAGTATTGAAATATTTGTTTTCGCCTGCTGCAGTCTGATGTGTTCTAAAAAATTTAAAAGCATTTTAATTTGAAATTTTGAATTTTGATATAAATTATTATGAAATATTATAAATTTTAACTTTCAACCTAAAATGCGTACCTATACTATTATAACTTTTAAGAATATATAAATAAAAAAAAAAAAAAACGAAAGTAAAATTATCAGAAACGTTAAACAAAAACTATATTTTTTAAATCAATAAACAAAAAACGAAAGCGAAAAAATCAAAAACGTTTTCTACCCCTGCATTAATTTGTAAGTATACTAATTTGATAAAAATTATCGTTCGTTTCGAAAACTTGACACAACTTAGATCTTTTTTTATACCAAAATAATATGTAGTTTACTCGTTCTCTAATAGGTAACTGAAATGCAAATTTAAAAGGAAAAACAATGATTCCTATAATCTTAATTTGCAATTTTCTCGTGATACGTGAAATCGTGTTATTGTCATATTGTACTATATTAATAATCTATAGTATAGTTTTAGAAAACCGAACAATAGAAATTATTCGATTGTTTAAAATTAATATTCTTAAAGTTAAGGTTTTTTTTTCTTTTATCCTGATAACTTACATAGTAGTCCTTAGTCCTTAATAATATTATTACGTTGAGTCAACACGGGTCAACTCATTCGCTTAACCTAAAATCTGAATTCCCGTTGGTTTTTTTTTTTTTTATTCCTCGGGAATTCAGTCTCACTTTTATGTCTTTGATTTTCAAGGTCCCTTGACTTCAACAGCCAAGGTTTAAAATGACCTTTATAATAGTAATGATAATTATTATCACTGTTATTACAAATAAACATAATACAACAAATAATGAACACAAACTTTACATCCTATGTTATATAGAATTTATTAATAATTATATTATTACCTTTATATCTAATTACTTACGCGAAAGAACACTATATTTAGTCGATTCGTCCTTAAAAATAAATAAGTTTAAGTACATTATGGGCTATTTGCGCACAGACGTTTACCATTACTATACCACTTGTACATTCGATTAAATTAAAAAATGTCGTTATTATTTTGCTTGTAAAATATGAGCAGCAGCTGCGGTTAAACACTAGCGGAACGTTTTTAATTTGTAACGTTATATTATAAGTATAGTCATTTTTAACGATAACCGATATCATTGCTTATAACGTGACCACGATTCGTTTTTTTTTTGTTTTTTTGTTTTTGTTTTTTTTTCCATCATTATTATTACTTATCAAAATATCAAAACGTATTATTGTCATCGGTTTCATTAAATAGCATACAATCATGTGTAACGTGCGACGTATTGTTTTGCGAATATATAACCTTCGTATTATTTAAACGGATGTGTTAATGAAGTATCGGCCGTGTATTGACCGGATGCATTTGATATAGGTACACGCAAAGTGATTGAATAAGAAGAGCTATTTCGATTAACGGCTGGATTTTGTGGACGAGATTAAGAAAAAGAAAAGTAGAAGAAGACGGAAGCAAGACACAATTTAGAAGGTCAAAGAAGTGATACTTGAAAACCCGAGAGACGGAAAAATCACCCGGAAGACGACGATTTCGTAGGGAAGATTTCGTCAATGAAGACTATACTCAGAGTCAAACATAGACGGAATATAGACGGCAAGTATAGCAGATACGACCGGGGAAAATGGAGGAAGATATTATTATGACTTGACAGAACGGTCTCAACGGTCTTAACTATAAAAAAAAAAAGTTTCTACATAACTCCTCGATTTATAATGATAATAATAAAGACGTCAAAAAAACTTAAAATATAAAAAAAAAAAATAACCAGATATAGGAATTACACAGTATGCTACAAAAGTCCCATATCAATCAATCTCAACCTGAATCTTTAATTGAACCTTAATATGCTTTAACTCGGTCGATTTTCGATCAATGTTAGTATTTTTTAATTTTTTTGTAACTGTTTTAAAAAATTTAATCCAAAAAAAACGCTATTTTGAAATTTTGAAAAAGGAATTGCAGAAAAAAAAAAATGTTAAAACCTTTGCCGTTCAATTAGAATTGCCTTATAACTTACTGTGAAAACATCCGCAATTAAATACTTAGACTAGCCACGGTGATAGTATAATAAGCGTGATACGAGACTTTTGGAACACGCTGTATATATAGGTAGCTACAACACGACGGAATTATTTAGATATATTTCATTGGCGAGTTTCATTTTTCAGAACAAAATCACGGAGATCGCACGATGTAGGGGAATCCATTTATTGAGGGATTTACTATTTTGTTTTTTTTGTTTTTTGTTTTTTGTTTTTTTATTTGGACGAACGTCGGCTTTCTATATTACAACGAGTGTATATACTCGTATAAAGCACGTAGCGAATCTAGAACGGGAACGAGATCGAGTAGATTGTATAAACCTAATATTATTTCGGTGGTGACGATGACGTGAAATTGAATCCGGACGAGTACTATACTGAATAGGCGATTACATATATACCTACGTATTATTATTGTTTTTTCTTTTTGATCGACACAATATTATTCTATCGACACGTGTTGCTATATTGCAGTATATACAACGTGCGAGACCATATTTTATACCTATATGAGATAGTTGTTACGGTTTTCGCGTATTGATCGTATATGGGTATTATAATATTATTATTTATTTTGCTGAGAAACGGTTCGATTCGAAAAACGAAAAAGTGATCGCACAGGGAGATACTATGATATTACGTCTGTGTACCAGGTGATCCATTTATGTGGCCTACGCTCGACGTTTTGAATAGTATTGACTTTTCAAACGGATTTTTTTTTTCGACAATTTCTGAAACGATAAGCAGCTCTACAATGTTACATCAATATTGTTTTTTTGTTGACAAAACGACACCGCCTGCTTTCGATTCCGAACTCGTGTTCCAAATCTAAAAAATCCAATAAACATAGACGGAGTTTTAGTTTGAATACATTTTTATATTGATATTTTTTATTTCCGTCGACAAGATAACGAGATATTCCGCTTTCAACGAGGAATGTAGTGGAACATTGTTAAAATGTCACCACTACTCTATCCAAATATAAACATGGAATTATCTCGTTAACGAGTCTATGGAATTTTAACACCGAAATCAATTTAAACTGATACTCCAGCTATTTATAGAATTTTTATGTATCGGTACCATTTGGAAATCATAAGTAGGAGGTAATCGTTTCACTCCCGAAAATTGAGGCGACAAAAAATAAATTGTTTTATAAAATACAATACTTTTCAATACATTAAGTATAGCCACTTAAATGGATCACTCTTTATTTGTATATATATAGAATATTCAGAGCTCGGACCTTTTAGCATTTAAATCACAAAAAAAAATTCGATTAAAAACGTCAAAAAACCTCGGAAAAAGTAAAAATGAAAGAAAGGTGTTAAAAACCCCTATTTTAACGGATCGAACAGTAATATTTTTTATCGCTAACTACAAATACGATAAAAACAAACTAATATTTTTTATAATAGGTAGGTACGTATAATTGTATTTTTTTAAAAAAATAACTTTGTGTTTAATAAGTAAGAGTCGAAAAAAATAGCTTTTTAAACTCCTCTACTATATTTGCAGTTTTAAAATATATTTTTCAAGGGCTTTTTTCAAGCGCTTTTTTTGTGAATTTGAATGACAAAACTCGAGTTCTGATTATCTTATACACACGTATAGGTACTAAAGCCGATAAAAACGGTAGATTCGATCTCTCCGATTGGAACGCAAGTACGCTATTGATAGGTTTTGATAAGAGATGTCGTTTTATGCGATACAAATCGTTAGTTTTTAAGAGAAAGTGATGCCCGCGCACGTGACGTAATGCTCATTCTAACAAACGTGAGAAATAACGAATTTAAGTTCGGCCGGGACAATATTGCGATGTTAGTTTTGATACCAGAGTGAATTGACCTGTTATCGAACTCGAGACAAAAACCATCATCGGCTGTACAATCACGTAGTAACAGGTGATTTTCGATCTTTCAAATTTCTAAGCGGGTTGTAAGCATTTTTTTTCAAATTGCGATAAACTCGCATGTTCGACTAATATGGCGATTGCACTGCATATTGCATTATTGCCTTTAAGTTTGATAAAATAAATCAATTCACTGCCATTGAAACCGCGACAGCACGACGTGGTCGTCCCGACTGTTGATAAATTTGCCACGTCCACTCGTAACGGTCTGCGAACATCGCTATTTTTATTACATCATTTTGCTGCAATTTTTGCAGGTTGGCAGTTATATTTCGATATTGTCAGAGGATTATTAAACGAGACGATTGCCACTATATTATTATTGTCAGCACATATTATCACGTTAGTCGCATATTAAATTGTCAGCACAATAGTAGGTGTATTTATAAAATTAAAATAAACTCATTGTGTATAGATATACCTAACGCGCGAACAAGCTATTCGTTCCTATACAATAATGTACGGTGCGTAATTTAATATCATTCGTAACAACACCGTCGTAATCGTCGGCGGTGTCCTAATAGTAAAACGTGTTATTATAACATTATGTAGTCGCGACGAAAATATACGTTTTAAAGTCGATTATTATTATTATTTTTTTTTTTCTATATGTGAATATCTACTGGCTAAGTATCAACGTTAAACGGTGATCTTATTATTAAGTATTGTATACACGTTTATTGTTAGTATTGTTATAAATGAAAACATAAAAAAAGATTAAACGCTAATTTTTACGGGGCCATTGCGTGTTACTTTCGGACGTAAACATATTGTCGAATAAAATAATAACAGTTACTACAACTTTGTAACTGCAACTCTGCAACTCTACGCCGTCGCGATATTTTTGATAATATAAATGTTGAAATTCTCGAGGACAATACCAATTGTAAACAATGTAAATGTGAATTCTGTCAATTATTTTATTTTTTTCTGCATTATTATTCTTACGCGTTAAATGGGATTCGACTTCAAAAAAAAAGGTCCACGTCAATTTCGAATTTCCACAATACACAACCCGCGCGTCACTGTGTTGTTCGCAGGTATAAAACTTCGTTTGTTTTTCAAATAATCGACTTTTGCGTAATTAAATTTGTTCGCGATATTTTGAATTCGACAACTATTACGACAACGACATCAATTATTCGTAATCTGACTCGACGCGGACTCGAATTTAAACGTAAACATCGAAATACTGAATTTTGAACAAAACCGTCCGCGCCGACATTTCGACCATAAGCGCAAATAGCCCAAGTTTATTATAATTTTTTTTTTTTTTTTTTTGGGGGAAGGAGGAGACTTATCATCGCATAATATCGATTATGTATGCATCGTATTTATACTCGGAGAGTGTCTTGGCTAGGTTTCGGGGGGCTGCGTCTAAAGATCTGGTAAATTGCCTGTAGTTTTAAACGTCTGTATCTAAATACTGCATTAAACGTTTCGATTCGTACACCTAATTCGTATTTTACATCGAATATTATAAATAACAGTTTTAGATTCTGTTTACCGCTAATCGGATTTAATTATACAAAAATATCATGATATACTTGTTTGGATTAAGATTTGATTATTTATTTTTTTTCCAAAACGGCGATTGAACGTTTGCTTTGTAATTTCGCGTATCGAATACGTTAATATAATATTACTAATGTAGCATAAAACAGGTCAATATTTTTTTTTTTTTAATATTGTAATTTAATTGAAATTTCCCGGTTTTTTTTTCCGTTTGATATTTTAATTTTTTTTTTCCGGTATAAGAGGGGGCCCAACAAAAGATATTGGAATTTAAATAACAGAAAGGCGTACGAAAGAAAATAATAATAATGTATTCCATTAATATAAATTCTGAACGAGGAAAATTTAACGTCTCACCCCTTCTCCCTCCCTCCCCCCACGAGTGCTCGCCGACGAGTGTTAAAACGTTGCAATCTCGCTCGGTTTTGTTTCGATCACCGTCTGACGGCGTATTATTGTTAATTTTTAAAACCTTATAATTAATATTGTACCCTAATACAGTAACAGGCATTCAAAATCACCGTAATAATATATTTACCCTATATTTTGACGCACGCACGTGTGTGTGTACGCACTGCATTAAGTCTAATTATTATCAACAGTATATTTTATGTATGCATGTATATTACAGGCGTAAAACTAAAAAATATATATATTTATAAATATTATGTAAAGGCATCTGCATAACGACGAGATAAAATTTAAATTCAAAAATTATAGCGTTACGCGTTGTACGCAATATATTGTTATCATTGTTGCGGGGACGGGACAAGTAACTTGGATAAACGGTAAATTATCCGGCCGAAAACAGTAACGTCGTCGCGGAACGCGTAAAAACGGCCGACGCGTATTAATTACATGCAAATATAGACGAAACGAATAACGTCTCGCCCTACGACTCTATTGGCCGGATAATCGAATATTGGCGGGGTGAAAAATTCGAAAAAAAAAAAAAAATAAAAAATATAAAAAAAATAAAAATACGGCTAGTATTACACGCGCACAATATAACGTTGCGGTGTATAGTGCGTATCGTTCGCGTTATTATTGTGTACGGTGCAGCGCAGTCCGGAAGAAGACGAAACGGCTATTGTTAGACATTATTACAGTAGCGTTCTATACCTACGGGCGACGACGGGGATTCGTTTTGACGAGAGAGCGACGTGTTCATATTGTTATCGTTGTTGTTGTTGTTGTTGTTGTTGTTGTTGTTGCGCGGACTTTCTATGTGTATATTTATATTGTAGTAATTATTGGGCGCTGTCAACGCGACGAGACGACAACGGCGTTGTCTATCCGACGCAACACGGTCCGCTGCTGCTGCGGGTCTGTACGCGCCACGTCGACGTGCCGGTGAGCAACGGAGATTTGTACTGTGAACAAGAGAACGAGCGGACGCGGTTATTAGGATTTCCATAATATTGTTATTACAATAATATTATTAATCGCCGTATACGTATAATAATAATAATAATAATATGTAGGCAGGTACTCAATAACAACGCCCAACAATAATAAACGGTGGCGTTACGAAAACACGCGTTGTGACAGTGCGCCACCGTTTTGCGTACCCGGTTAGGAACGCGCGTGTAATGCAATACCGTAATAATAACAGTAGTACCGTAGGTGTGATCCGACGACGTTTTGAGAATGTTAAAATCGCAGGGGGGGGGGGAGAAAAAAACCGCAAATACCAACGGTCTCTAAAACGTCCAACTAGGGCTGCGTTCAAAGAGTCTGCAGAGTAGACTACCCATATTATCTCAATAACTATTCGAGTTGACATCGACAATAAATGATAAGAATCGTTAATAATTGTAATCTATCTGCATTTTAACTAATTTCATTAACTATGATAAGCATCTTTAGTATCTAAAAGAACCTACCTGTTTTTCTTGGGCCGTTCGAGTTAACCCGAAGTGAACGATACTCTAGTTAAACTCGACTTTAGTATTCGAACGCAACCCAGGGCCGGCTCGAAAACAGTGCAAGCTGTGCACGCGCACAGAGCCTCGTGATTTTACAGGCCTCGTGTCTAGCTGTTATCTAGCTGTTGGTATAGTAATTTCACGCGATTATTTAAAAAAATACAAATTGAAATTAACGAACTAACTGTATTGTAAAAATTGATCTACGTTTGGTATTAGAAAGTGAAAAATCCAAAAAAAATAAAAAGCTCATTAATGCCCCGTAAAAATGATTTTTTCCAGCCCGGCCCTGCGTCTAACTTTTACTGAACACGTAATAATATTATTATGATGTAATCGATAAGTTAAAAAAAAAGCGTAAACGCTTTGTTAGAGAACGCGCGCGCCAACGACCAGCTCCCTCCCCACAATATTACACTATAAAAGGCTAAAAAACAAAACGCGGGCCAAACGGCTACTCGGGAAATATTATTTGAGCAGACTCGATATAAAGTTAAACAACCAAATGTGCATTATCGTTAAAACAAAAAAAAAAAAATAATAAAAAATAGCGGAACTCGCACTCAGTGACGTAATAATAAAGGGTGAGGAGATCTAGATGTTAACCCCACTCCCCTTTGCCCCTTTTTATAATAATTGTATGGATACAATTTATTTTTTTAATTGAGTTTATAGCCTCAGTAATTTTTGTTAGCGCAAAACCGTTTCATTTTAAACATTGTTTGTTTATTTCATCATTATAAAATAGATTGCTTGTGATAATATGATACTACTCAACTTGTATATATTAAAGAGTCAATTTTAATAATTTCGAGTTGGTAAATTTACATCTTTATTAAAAATGTCAAGAAAATTGCTTACTTGTAATCTCCTAAACACCGGTAGGTCTCTTAAGAAACCACCGCAAGGACATTTGTTGTCTTTGTTTTTCTAAAGGTCAATAATAAAGCAAATATTTGTTTACGAAAACGAAAAAAACCTTTAAAATCGGGTTTAGTGATAAAACGCCAATTTAGAAATTCGTAGATGACAACATTTTGAATATTTAACTTATTATCGAAAGTACACAATGTCATATTAAATTTTTTTTTTTCAAAATAATTTTTTTATTAATTAATATTTCAGAAAACGGTTGTGATTAAAATTGTACATTCTACAAGTTTTATCTCTAATTATATTTCTAACCTAACATTTTCGCTAGATTGTTAGGAAAACAGATAGGCAAACATAAATGTGACAGTCTCTTAGGTGACTACACACTATAAGCAATGCTTAATACGTATATACGTGTTCGTGGTTCGCGATTCATACAAACCCGTAGTTTTTTGATATTTACAAACAATAGCCACAACATATTACTGTAGTGTCACTTTTGCCGTCATCCAGAGAGGTAGACCACGAATCATTTTTGAACGGTTCTTGGCCGATTTTGGGCCACAAAATATGGATGACGAATTTATTACGAATAATCCATACTCACTATTCGCGAATATCAATGAAAAGCGAACCGTGAACTACAACAATAACGAATTCTCACATAGTGTGTTCACTACCTTGAAAGAACACCGCGAGAGTTTTTTAAAAAAGATTTAATGAAACTTATTGTCGAATTTTCGCCCAAAATAGGGACTATTGAAATGTACTGTGTCTGTTATACATATTATACACATGGTGATTCTTTTATAGTTATAACACTTAATATTTCGTAAAATATTGACAATTTTCAAAAAAAAAATTGTTTAGAAATTTAAGAAACAAGCACATCTAAAATGTTACATTACCATTATTTTTTTGAAATCCTTAATTTTGGGGATGTAACGATTACCTACCTTCGATATTCAAACGGTGACCTACATTAAATGTTCCATAAATTGATAGAGTATTAGTTTAAATACATTTTGGTGTTGACATTTTTAATTTCCGTTGAACAGTTCACGAGATAATCTTATTTTAAGTTTGAGTGGGAAGAAAGTAGCGGAGTATTTAAATTCAAAACTCTTATCATTTTATCGGACTATTGATGTTGCTTACTATTTGAAAAATCAAAAGTTGGAAGTTGTTACACCCTCAAAAGTAAGGGTGACAAAATATAATGGAAATGTAATATTTTAGAGCTGCTTGTTTCTTAAAATTTCAAACAAATTTTTTCAATACTTTGCGAAATGGCGAGTGTTCAGCGACAAAAGAATCGCCCTATATATATTACTAGCTGTCCCGCCCAACTATGCCCGCGCCAAAGGAAATAATAGAGAAATTATCATTATGGTATTGCACAGCCTTTACACGGATTACCTATTATTTATTTTTTTGTTTTGTTTGTTTTAATTTTTTTTTTTTATTATATCCGTATCACTAAAATAGCCCGTCGAAAAACAAAAATAATTAGATTCGTTCTAATTTTCGTTACAAATTACCAATAACCCTATGCGAGCATCCTTATAGCCTATAAGGATTGAATATGGGAGAAAACAATTTTAGATTAAAATGTATTATGTTATTCGGTATTCCTGGTCTAGAATTGCAATTATTATTGAATAGTTTTAGCTAAAACCTGTCATTAGTTCGGGCTAGAAGTGGTAACAAACATCCAAAATAATTTTCGCATTTATAATATTAGTAAGATAATAGATAATAAGATAGATAATACAGTAAACATTTGGACACTTTTAGTGACTTCTTCTGGTCCAAAAGAGCTCAAATTCTAAAGTTTTTGAAGTCTGAGCTTTTTTGTATAGGCGGATTTAAGGGACATAATTTTGGTTAAATTTCAATGTGAACTTCACCATATGTTATTGCAAGAAAGAGTTGTTTTATAGTTTTGTACCTTACACAGACTCCTGAGATAAATCTAGGGGGTGAAATTTTATATAGGCATGGTGCGTAAGTATCAAGGATGTGATTTTTCATGTTTTTACAAGAAATAACGGGTTTTTAATACCCTTACAGACATATAAAAGTAAGCAACTTAGTTAAAATATGCATAAACAATATAAATAAAATTGTTGTTATCAAGGATGCGCCTTTAGAATGTTTGAACTTCCAACTCCCGACGCCAATGTTTGTTTGTATATTAGCAAAAATCACGAGAACTACTTGAACCTATTTTGATAAAACTTTTTTTGTTCAATTCTTAATTATTACCGGAAGGTTATAAGATGTGGTGGGGTAGTAGACCTTGCAGTAGGTGACGGGAGGAAGGAAGATGGTTGTCAAATAAATACAAATTCAGATACTAATTTAGATCAATTGCATAAAAAAAAAAAAAAAAAAACGTGAAATATTGTAACGATAAGTCGGATGGGGGAATTTTTTTTTTTGTCAATCATTTAGTATTTATTTTGTACTAATTTGTATGACAAAACCCACAATTGTACTGCCATAGTTTCAGAGGAATTCGCGAAAAACCTAGGGGGGGGGCTGGAGAACCGTTTCTCCAGCCCCTCTCTCCATACAAATAATCATTTTTAACATTTTTTTTTTTATCATTATTTAGTATTCAATTTGTATAACTGGTTGTGAACCGTTTGTAACAACCCTTTATCCTTAAAAAAAACACGTTTTTACGTTAGTCACCACCCCCACTACACAAAATATTGATTTTTTTCATCAATCATTTAGTATTTACTTTGTACGAATTTATATGACAAACCCCACAATTTGTGCGACCATAGTTTCATCCAAATAGTCGATGGGGAGGGGGGGCTGGAGAAACGTACGTAGAAAATTCGACTCTAGTTCTAGCGGAGCTTATCTGCTCATGCGTTTTTTTTATTTTTATTATTATATTATTTATTGTCGTTTAATTATTTGTAATAAATGTAATACCTAACAATTTTCTTTACATTACGTATACCTAGCTACTACCATATATAAAATTATAATTTATACACATACCGATGGCGTATACACTGTACCCGTATAGATATTTTATTTAACGTTGGCGTTTTGAATATTCGACCTTTTCCCGATTATATTATTCTGTATGCATTGTATGCCTCATTTTTGAGGTGAAAAATGTATTCTTATAATATTATATATACATTCCAGACTCGAAAAATGTTCGAAGACAAATATTTGAATATATTTTGAGTAGGTAGGTGTGTTACCTTTTTAATACCTGCCTTTTTAATTTTTTTTCCCTAAAGTATTTGCAGTATTTGGAATCGAATTCTAATTATTTTTAAATGATTCTCTCATTTTTAAAATTGTTTTTTTCATTTAAAATAGAAGCGCATCTACGCGCCGTCTTTAGAAAACTATTCGGGGGATATGAAATGTTTTACTCGCCAAAATTTTAATAATTGTTAAATCTATAATTTTTTCAGATAGGTATATTAATAATAATGTTATTCGATTGTAATTGATCGGTCCTACAATAATTTGGTATTAAAATTATTTGGGTATTATATATATTATAAGGCATAGTAGCGATTTATATAAAAAATGAAAAATTAATAACTCATTGATTTGTAGTTTTTTTTTTTTTAATTATGTCAATACTACATAATGAAATAATTAAAAAAAAAAAAAAAAATGACATAATTAAATTAAAACTGGTAATTAATTTAATCTATCATAATATTTAAGAGTTTTATATGATATTGTACTTTTGAAAAAAAACCCAATACCTACCTATGGAAAAATACTATGTAAACATAAAGTATTTAAATGTATTTACAAATATTTTTCAAAAGTATTTGTAGCTACTTAAATATTGCATATTCTAAATACATTACAAACATTTGTAATTGAATTTTCAAGTACTCAAAATACTTTTACAAGTCCACCTATACGTTTTAATATATAATATAATATAATTTTTATTCTTTTAACGCGGTAAAACTTAAGTATTATTTTTTAACTTTAAGCCAGTTGTGTATGCGTCAATTGACTATTTTTACCGCGTAATTTTCAAAAAATCGAAAATTAAAAACCCAGTCAAAAATCGATACCTTCCATTAATATAAGTAGTGTTTCTCGGGCATTATCGTCTAATTAAGAATAAAATAATAAAGTAAAAACAAAATTATTGAAATGGTTAATACTTGTAAATAAATATATGAATACAAAATGTATGCATACAAAATAAATAAATTAATGAATGTGTTGCTTGGAGTATTAGGATACGCGTATTATACGACCGGTTTCGAGTTAAAAATTTGTCATCAGATATATCACAGTCGACATTTAAAACGTGACCTGTCGTCGTATCATAATAATCCAGGGGATGCATTCATTCATTTATTTATTTTTTATGCATACATTTTTTATTTATACATTTATTTACTATTTCTAATTAAGATTAAATATTAAGAAGACTATAGTCTTATTATAATAAAATATTTAAAAGAACAGAACTATAATTACATGCGGGACAGGAATTGTTGCTGCCAAACTGTTATTGATCTCCTCATGACTCGGTTTGAACTTGTTCATGTGATGGACTTGCGAAAAGTGTCTAGGGCGTGTCATCATTGACTCGTAATAGCCAGGTCGTTTTTTCCCAGTGTCGTTAGAAGAGATTTTCGGGGTGGAAATCACAGCGAACGCTTCGCCATTGTTGTCTACGCCTGTTCCCATAGCCTTGTCGTGGCGCATTAGATCTTTCAGCTCTCTGAACTTATCTTTGGAAGTGGGACGAATGGGCAATTTGTTCGTGGAAGGGGGATAATCAAGACGGAATAGTTTCGTAGCTTTCCTCGGCAATGGATCGTCCACGATTGATCTTGTAGTGGTTGTCATACGTGCGATTTTTTCATACGGCATCAGTTGTCTGTACATGTTATAATAAATTCTGAAAATGAATAATATTTTTTTAAAAATATCGAACAATGAACCCGACTCAAAGAATTTTTTCAATAATAATTTATCACAATATTTATAGGTATGCGCAGATGAGGTTTTTGAACTTTTTTTGTTTTTTTTTTCTGATCGGGGCGGGGGGGTTCCTTTGGTATTAACTTACAAAAAATATTTCCCAATATCTATTAATTTATTTTCATTAATTTACATATTATTTGTTTTCTTATCTACATAAATGTATCTTTGTTTTAATAAAAAATAAAGTTTAATTTTAAAAACTATAATACTCGAAGTCTGCGGAGTGAGCAGAACCCCTGGACCCCCTCCCTTAAACCACAACTGGGTATGTGTAAGGTATTTTTATATTTATCGGGGACGAGCAACCGTTTCCCTTACGGAACTGTTTAGCCTTAGAGTGCTATAAACACTAGCTGTATAAATATTATAAACATATGTGTAGCTGAAGGGGAGAGAAAACGGTGTGGTAGATTTGAGTAATTTTTTAACACGTTGCCTAAGGTTTGATATAGTAAAATTACTATGCACGCCACGTCACTGTCTTTCGTTGTACACTTTGATAGTCATCGTAACAATACATGTATTTCATTTCAATTGTACAAATATACCTTATACAAAGTATTATATTATAAATATTAAAATCTTCAGAATTTAGATTTAGAGTATATTTTACTCTGGTCGCTGGTCTTACAAACGCACGGAATTAACAAGTCTGGGTTCAGCAGATCAAAAATATGCTGTTAATTTTAATATTAAAATTAATTGGCATAATATCCAATTTATAGTATCTAAGGGGAGAACACATTTTATTGTTAGTTTTACTATGATGTATTTTTCTTCCTGATTGTAAACAAGTTTTTGAAAAGAAATCTTGCTCCGATGTATAGAGTATCATTATACTATTATCTTTTCTGAACGAAAATTGTGTCTAATTGGTGTATTAAAAGAGCATTTTTTTTGATTTTCCAAGGGGTTTTCGAAATAATTTGGAAAAATCCGAAAGAATATAATAGGTAAACGGCAAATATTTACGGCGTTACCGATTTCATTGTTTTTAATTTGTGCAACTTATGCAGTTTTACAGCAGAAAATATATTGCTCAAATGGTAAAAATAACATTGTTGTATCTGCTATGTAGGAACTTATTAGGTGTAAATGAGAAGATTAATATTAACAAAATGATGCATAGCCGATATAGTATTCAAGCACAAATGAAAGTACGGAGACAGGGCGCAATGACTGACCGCAGGCGAGCGAGTGACAATACCACACACCGCAGATAATAATAATAATAATATAATAATAACAACCGCCCGGCATGCACTTTATCAAGTATCGCATTTAGATATAAATTATATGATACACTACAGACATGAGATCGATTTTTCTCCTTTTAATACGTACAATTTTGTATAGTACGGAAAATTACAGAAAATAGACTCTGCGTTGGTTATTTTCGTTATTTTAATGTTTGTAATATCACAATATAAAAATGCTTGTACTCGGTTGAAAACTAAATTATCGAAGAAACAAAAGTACAAAACAAAAAACTGATAATATTCTTCTCTTTATTGACATTTGATAATTGGCCAATTCACGAAAATTACAAAATCGGCACTACTGAACGCAAATTTGTTATGTCATGCATTCGTAAGATGGAAACAAAAAATGCGTGTGTAGTGTACCTAACCACGAAATACTGTTTCGACGATTAGTTTTTATTCTTTTAAGGCTATGAAATATTCTTTCCGGTGTCTATAGTGTATTACTGTCTATAGTTTCTAGTGATTATAATTATTATAGTATAATAATATGTACTTTTATCGATTCCTTATTTCACAGTTTTCTTAATAATTTATTTATAATAATTATATTATTAAAGAGTCCATTAAACATTTTATCGATAATTTACGACAAAATAAAATTTTATAATGGCATTAAAATTTAATTATTTTAAAGCTACAAAAACTTTTGAGAATAATTTAATTAAACGCCCACGGTATTACCTGCTTTTTTAAAACATTTTTTCTCCCCACCGAGTTGTCGGATCGACTTCAAAGCACGTCAGGAAAATAATTGTTTCTGTGCATGAACTGGGCACCAGACGAGAAGTAAACGAATGAACCCCGGGGAAATAAATGATTTGATTGAAGTTGGTACATGTTAGATTCTGATCATAGCGAGGAATGTATTGTTTTTACAACGATGTTTATTTTTTTATATTTTTTTCTCTTTGAACAACTTTACCACTAGCAATTGTGCTCCGATTTACAATAATAGCACTGTTTCTAAAAGGAAATTTGACTGAGGTTGTACTTTAAGGATGTCATTTTTCCGGCCGTTTTCATAATAAATGGGAAAAACCGGGGAAAAAACGTAGGGAAAACGGGAAAATATATAATATTAATCAAAAATTATTGAAGAAAATATAATTATTTTAACATAATATGACATATATATATATATATATATATATATATATATATGGTTGACAAAGCAACACTGATAACCGAACTCCGCTCAGAATCATTTTTCGTTAGCAATGGTTAATCGTTGCGTACAGATATACATTAAAGTTCCCCTCTACTTTTCCAACTTCTCACTTATTTTTTTATTACCGTTATTGCTCTGACTGAACTGCAGATTGAGATAATATAAATCGGACACGAAAGGTGGGTGGGTAGTGCAGGTAAAACCATTGTTATTGTATTGTTATTCAAGACTGGAGCACATGCAATAAATAATATTTCAAAATACCGGAATTGAAATTTTAAAAGACTGTAATACCGATATTTTTCCTAATGTACAATTCATTTTTGAAATACCGTTTTTACAAGTACATCAGAAATAATGTTTTTTAGCCTTAAAAGAATAAAAACTAATCGTCGAAACAGTATTTTGCAGTTAGGTAACTAATATAGTTATAGTTCTGCTAAATAAAATTAAGTTTTTTAATACCTAATACGCAATCTTTTCCCATCTTTTCCCCTCTATTTTTGGACAATTTTTCGCAGCTCACTCTAAATGTTCTAGACTTAATGAACTCAAATTCAGGAATTAGAGTTTTTTTTATAGGTGGATTTAAGTGATAATACTTTGGCTGAATTTCAATATGAACCTTATTGTTGCAGGTTTATATTTGTTTGGCCTTATATAAGGACCCTTCAAATGAAACCAGATGAATTAAATTTTTGTTTATGCATGGTGTAAATATCAAGGATGTGCCTTTTGATGGTTTCAATTTACAACCCTCTCCTCAACTATTTTATACTCAAATGTCATTGTTTCACAGAAAATACTGAGTTTTAAATACACCGACAGATTCATTAAAGTAAGTAACGGGGTTAAAATTTGTATACATAAATATTATTATTGTCAAAGGATGAAAGTTTAAAGAATACTTTTAATACCTGAAAAGGACGAAGGGTAGATGCCCGTGAATAGAACAGGAATAGGGATAGACGTGGATAATGGGGGTCTAGTCAATACAAATTTAATTTAATTAAGTACATATATTATAATGTGTACTTACTTACGTAATTAATAATTACTAATTATTTACATGATATGTTATATAATATTATTATTTACACCAGTGAGCAATTTTAGCAATCATAATTATTATAGATCAATTCGAAAAAAAATTATAATAATAATAAAATATTATTACCGTAACAATTCAGTTCGAATCTAGAGACGGAGCTCTGCTGCTCACGGGTGTTTTTTTTTTTTTTTTTTAGCTAAATAAAATAATTACCTGTCCGGTAGAAATCGTTCATATAAAAATGAGTTGTGTCTGTTTATGTACCTCGGTTTAACATAATCTTCCCATGTACTATATTCAAACGGATCATAACTTATCGGTATAATATTATTATTAGTGGATTGTGCCAATTGCCGTTGAGAAATGCGCCACATGAGAAGCAATTCGTGACAACTAGGTTCGTCCAAAAGCCCTCCTGTAGGCTGCGGAATGGGGTTTACTATTTCGTCGATCACATTCGGTTCAGTTGTCATTTCTGCAGGTTCCCGACGATCGATGACCGCTCCTTTGGGCCCGTACATTTTGACTCTGGGGTGCGTAGTACAATCCGAATACTGAACGAGTATTGAAAATAACGAGATGTAGAACATGACGCTGATTTTCATCAGGTCCATCTGAAACACAACAGACATTTATCTAATATTATTCATGCATAATATATTTTTATGTAAGCAATATTAGTAGCAGTAATGATGCGCCAAACAAAAAATTACTATAACAAAACATAATTTTTTAATTTCTAATTTAATCACTCATTTTTAGTGAGGAAATTTAAATGTTTTCCCCCTTATCATTATAATAATTAGTTTATTTTTATTTATTTGTTTTAAACGAGTAAGCAAATTTGAACGAAAAATAAATCACCTCATAGAGTCTGTAATTATTCATGAGGAATCCCGTTCCTCTTGTAATATATTATATTAAAAATACGTAGTACCCTTATATTTTGTCTCCGTCTTACAAACATAAGACAGTAAATTTGAGTCTAGCAGGCCCTCATTTATGAATATGTGAAATATCACAATTCAAAAACGCTTACATCCCGTTTGAAAATTAAAACATCGAACAAAAACCTATATGTATTTGTACAGATAATAATATTAAATTAAAGTTTAATTCTCTGTTCAAATCTATGTTCAAAAGGGCGGTTACCCATTTGAATATCAAAAGTATGCACTTATTTAAGATACACGGAGTAGGGTTAACAAATTAAAAATGATTTTAAAATAAAGCTTAAACGATTCCGTAATGATTAGAAAAAACAGAAATCAAGTTCACTTAAAATCCACTGAGATAATTGCTGGTTCATGATAAAAAAATCACCTTATATATGCGTATAACACATCCCTTTAACATGAACCGAGTCAATATGATATTTTTCTGATATCCACGATATCCCGATAATTGTAATTAGCTACTTAATACCGATAACTAACATCCGATGTTTAAAATTGATAATCTCGAGTAATTATTGAAACTAACCACGCTTTAAATTTTTAATATACTTAAATTTCCTCATGCCCACCTCCGTTTGGACGGATTTTACCAATAAAATCAACGGTGTACAAAAAACCAAAATATTGTGTCACATAGTTTCCATTATGACATACGCCATTATATTAAACGTTGAGGGACAACTGGTCGACAACAATTCGAATCACGTTTAATCCTGAATTTATTGCGTATTTTGAAAGGGTAGGGGGGAATTTTCACGCTCGTATATGTTTTGCCTGTATTTATGATATTTGCAGTAGAAAAGATAAAATATGACCCATCAACACTGTAACAACAAAATATAATGTTGTTCATTTGACGGGGCTGCCTTTTCGGTTGAATTATAACAACGATATTTTTATTAAACCCACCTATATTTTATTGTTATTATAAACGTGATTTTTTTTTTTTCATATCGGTTTAAAAAGTTTAATTCGGTAAAAGTTATTTCATGAAAGCTTTTTCGTGTTCGTATTAAAATTAAAACAAATTTTATAAATATCCTTAACAACACTTACCAAGTAAGTATTTAAGTATAAAACAAACAGAAATTATAATAATATAAGTGCTTTATTATCTTTAATGATTAATATTATGATTTTTCGAGCGGAAAAATAACGAATTTTAAACATTCTACATGTATGTTTTTAAAAAAAAATCATAATATATTATAGAGTTATTTTGTTAAACATAATAATATTATTGTTATTATGTTATTAGAATGCAAATAATACGCAGTGATAAGTTTTACAGTACGTTTATACCTGTAAAGTTGTGTCATTTTGTTAGTTATACCGGATAATGAAACAAATACTCGGGGGATTTTGATATATTTTGCTATTGGAATAAATTATTACAGAAACCGGAAGAGAAACAGATCGTTAAATATGTTATCGTGTTTATGTAAATCATATTATGGCGAACTATTGGAAAATACATTACCGAACGGTGTAAGGGTAAACGTTAAGATGTCATTACAAAGGGTGTATGATCATTGATCAGGGTTAGACAAGGCTACCAAGACGCTAGGAAATCTCGCGGTAGGCAACAAGAAAGTAGGGCTAATCTGATCTAAGTCAAATGAAATACGTGCATAACCGCAATAACTGCTATCTTGTAAATTACTTGAATACACTTCGAAAAAAAATATTCGAATAAGTACATATTCTGAATACGTTTTTATTATATTTTTATTTTAATATTTGAATATTTTTTTTTCGAAAAACAAACTTCTGATTACAGTTAATTTTTCATTATATTTTGATAAATATCAAAAATAATAATAATAATAATAGCGTAGTAACAATTAACTAAAATCAAGTAATGAAATACATTTTGAAATATTCGAAGATGTATTTTGAATATATATTTTAACTTATTAGAGTACGTATTTCGAATAAAAAATAAAATTATTCTTTACAAAACTGAGAGTAAGTAACTATAATCGAGTATAACAAGTACAATGAAAAATACGATTTCCTGGCCTGTTAAAGTGTAAAATAGTGCTCGACGAGTTGGTAATAAACCTTTAGGGACTGCCACCTCAGTGCCTTTAATGAGCCACTGGAGACCAGCAAAAAGCTGTCGAAATCTGCAATAAGCTATTGGTTGGCCGTAACGAGCCGTCAATGAGGACGATTTCAGGGGAAAGTATTCAGCAAAAGAAAGCGATGGGCTGAAACCGGGCAGCTGCGTATAACTTTTAATGCATACTGGTAGAATAAATATTTTACGGGCTGTTTTTCACATAAGATAGTCCAACCATGTGTATGATGAAAACCGTAAATCAACGTAAAGGAGAAAAATCGTTATTTATATTGTTTATCGGAGGGCATCGTAATATAGTAAGTAACTTTTTGTTTATTTTTTTATACGTTTAATATGTACGGAATATAAAAAGCTTCAGTATAATTTTAAAGAATATAATTTACAAATGGAAAGTCATAAAACAATGAAATCGTTTAAATTCGTTGAAGCGAGTGCTTCATCGATTGCAAGTTATACAAAATAATAATAAATCATCGTAGTATAGGTATGAAGGGTACGAACCAACACGATTTCCCGTTTTCCTGTGTTTGATATATTTATGTATACGAAAGGAAATGCGGTAAAACACTATATATTTTATACATAATATAATTTCGTACATGGAGTAAGTCTACCGTTTTTTCTTCTTTTATTTTGTGTGTTATTTGATGGAAAGAAAAAAAAAATAACTTATTTATCTCCGTCTTATATTTCGACGAGCATGTAATATTTTAACGGTTATAATAATTATCTGCAGCGGTCGAATTTGATTACGAGTTAATTATAAAAGTCACATTCGAATCAAACGCATAATTTTTACATTTATTTATTTAAAAATACATTATAAATGCATAACTGTATTATGAATGATATATTTTTTTTTAAATAATATATGGTAATATTATATTACGATGACATAGCTGTATAAGTCATCCGCTAATAAATACTGGATTTACATATTAAAAAAAAAAAAAAAATTATGATAATAAAATACATATGTAGATTTCATTACGCAAATTATGTCGCTAAATTATATGTAATTACGAAAATATAAAACGTTCAACGTTGTGCCACTAATAAACTTATATAAAATTATAATTAAATGAAATATTATAAATGATTTTAGATCGAAACTCTATAAAGATTACTGCTTGTATTATTTTCAGTGCTGAGATTTATCCAAACAATTTTGTGTTTATTTAATTTTATTTAGACAAACAATTCGATATCTATCTAAGGTTCGTTAAAGATAGAGAAATTATTATCTTTTTAGTAATTATTAAGATATTTTCCAAAAAAAACTTGAATTAATGTTTGAAATTAATATAACTAATGATTTACACTCTTTGAATTTAAAGAATTATTTTTACCGTTTACATATTTCATTTCTCTGACATAAAAAAATAAAAACTCATCTTATTTCATCTACATGAATTCCACTTATCTGCTGTCCTGTCCGAGATATTTATAAATTCGATGATACGTAGATGATTTTGGAGAAACTAATACCGTTCATCTCTGTTAAGATAAATGTGTACCTTTCTGTGTCTCAACACTGATTATTTTGTTATTGTTTGAGTATAATAATCATCTAGACACTTTAACAATTTTTATGTAAAGTGGAACAAATTAGTCAAAACTTTGAACAGCTTTGAGAACAGAATTTATGGTATTTTTATAATATAATTAGGTACCTGTACAAACAACTGAATAATTCATTCGAATAAAACTATTTTTTAATTAAGTCACAAGTGGAAAGTTTTTTTTTTTATTAACGAAAATATGTAAAACAATTTAATAGATATAGTTGTGTATTACCTGTGTATTGTGTTAAGTTTTCTTATTAAACTATAAAAACTGTATATTCGCGTACCGTCGTTGCACAGAAAATGTACTTACTTATTCATAATATATAGATACTAGGTAGGTATATAAAATTAATATAAAATTTTATTATACTATTATATTATTATATAGGTATATTATAACTTGAATTAAAGTTGTTTTTGTTAAAAAAAAAAAACAAACAATGGCTCTTATTTTTTTTTTCCACATAATGTATTCCAATACCAGAACTATAAAGCCGTGCGCTAAATTTTCATTTGATTGGATAGCCGGAACTCAAATTCCAATTACTAAATTTGACCCATATACACAGACGGAAATGTCGAACTTCATAAAACCACTGAATAACTTTATTTTGATATAAAATTTTAAATTGCAATACATACATATACATATGTATACAATCGTAATTTTATGAAATAAATACATTTTTCGTAGTATATTTTTTAATAAAAAGCCGTCAAATGTTTAATGCTTAAATCTCGTATATTTTATTCGTAGGACGTATAAGTATACGATATATTACACTTCGCGGAATCTTCACAAATAAAACATAATAATATAAACTTTTTCGTTTTATAAATATAATAAATAATTCTATACGATTGTATCTAATTTAATAAATGTTACAAAAAAAAAACTAAAATGATAAAGACACTCGAGAAAAGTCACGGTTTGTTTTTTCGAAACATTATGAAGATAGGTATTTTATCGGTAGGTACTTAATAGTAATCCTTAATGTATTTCC